ACTTTACCATGTGATATGACAGGGTACACTGAAAGTGCAATTCACTCCACTCAATCCTCACAACCAGTCATAAAGAAAAGCCGAGCAGATCACATCTAGGAAAACAATGAAACGAAGATAGTCCAAACCAAGTTACACACTATTTATTAAACTCAGAGTCTTGAATTGTCAGGATAACTTCAATACTATAGTGCGCTGCTCAGAAAGGAGCAGCGCTTCACTCCCCAACCCTGATTAGTCACTTGTAACACCTCTGAGCCCCTGAAACATCAAGCCCCCCCATAGGCCTCTGAGGCCAAGCGCCACTCAGAGGATGAAGAAGAAAATCAGCGCCACAGTATCTGATGATGAAGAAGTATCGGAAGACTTCCCGGATGGAAGTCTGCAGCAGCGCCACCAAACCCTGACAAGTTGACCTCTGAGGAAGAGGCTGCAGCTATGGCTGCAGCGCCACCACCCTGGAACCCCATTCCGGAGGAGGGTCCAGCAGGGCACAAACTTCTCTCGCCTCCAGCAGACCTCGATATGCCAGACCTTCGACAGCCCCTACGTGCTGGCAGAGTACAGCGCAGGTCCCAGCTATGGCCGGCGCTCCGAAGGTCTGGCTATGCCTGTCTCCTTCCACGCTGAGCCGTCACCACTTCTGGTTCACGCGTAGCGCAGCAGCGCTGTACTCGGTACCAACTGCCAAAAACCCTGAACGGATGTGCCCATTCTATCTATAGACTACACTAGCCTAGACTTGACCTAGACCGGACTGACTGACCGACCGGTACCGTTTCTGTTTCGGCCTCTCGGCCTCTACCGGACCCCGCTATAGGCTATAGGACCATCTATCAGAATAGGCCCTTAGGGCCTGTCTGTCCTAGGGGTACGCCCTGCGCTATCTTTCGCTCGGAGTGTTTAATTTGCACAAGGGGGCCCCGGAAAGATAGCGAGATGGGGTATGCCAAGGATTTTTGGAAAATTGAGTATGGGGACACGGACAGAACCGAAGTCCCCCGTGCTGGTCCGACGTGGTAAGAGGGGAGGGTCCGACACTATGTGGATGTCAAGGGAGAGAAAGGCACGCGCGGTACGTTCGGCGCGTGGAAATTCAATCCAAAAAGTATCGTTGAACTTCCCAGCGGGCCATTGCCCTTCGCTTCGTGTGAAAGGGGGAGGGTACACATTTGGTGTCCCGTTTTCGGATCAAGTCCCGACACCGCTCATTGCACAACTCAGAGTCTGACGTGGAGGGTCTCAATCGCGTAGCTCGTTCCTTGTGTTTGTCCTCAATCCGTACACGGTAGTGGAAGCCTTTTGATTGGTAACGCTCGAGGCGACAACAGTCGCTGCATAGAGTGTTAGGCCAATGGGGCGCCACTGTCGTCCACAGAATGACAATCAATTCATTGAATGGTAACAGCAGCGAATAAGGCGGAAAATGCGTATCAATAATGACAAAGCCCGCTCCGACAAATCCTAAACATCGAGTTTTGGGAGGGAAATGATATCGGTCGCCGATCTTGGCGATGGCTTCTCGTGCGTCCCACTTGCATACACGAGTCCGTTTCTCGTTATACGGAAAGGGACGTGGCGGGAGTACAGGAGGTCGGCGCCCAGTCGGAGTGAGGCCTTCAGTCCACATGGCAATCCACTCAATCACAAGAGTCGGTATCAGTCATTCATCTTTAATCCCCTGTCTATCGATCGGGCTTTTCCGATTATCGCCTTTATTTATCCGAAACATGAGAAGCAGAGTGGGAGCATTCCTTCGCTTCTCAGGACAAGAGAGAGAGAGAGAGAGAGAGAGAGAGAGAGAGAGAGAGAGAGAGAGAGAGAGAGAGAGAGAGAGAGAGAGAGAGAGAGAGAGAGAGANAGAGAGAGAGAGAGAGAGAGAGAGAGAGAGAGAGAGAGAGAGAGAGAGAGAGAGTTTGCAATGGTCTATGGTTTCGCCAAGCAATTTTCATACAGGAATCGTGGGGACAGTACGCACATCAGGTGGGACACGATCGGTGTTCCGCGCATGCAGGTCGCACGGGTCGCCCTTCTTCTCTCTGAAAAGACAGATCGCCTGTCAGGTTGCGTGCAAGGCATTTCGAATCACATTATCGACAGATCTAAACACTCTTGCATTCTCGAACAAAATCCTAACAACATTCTCCTTGCCAACAATTCAATCATTCTCACGCATTCGATTGCAACAACTCTTCAACCTAAACAAAGACCAGTTCATCAACGACAATCTTTATTCGGGGTGACTCATCGCGGAAGGTGCGAAAATGGCAGCCATACATGACTCGGTTTCCCGCGTGATCTGCACCCCTGCCCCGTCATCCCTTGACTAATCAAAACGTCGGCCCACTAGGCAACCATTCCATGACAAACATACATAGTCATAGGGTAAGTAGGGAGAGGAAGTGTGAAATGGATACAATAAATGACAATCATACAAAAATCCAGAGATAGAAGAATTCTCGGCTTAACGGTCGTGAAGTTACACTCACACCAAAGAATAGACTCGAAACAAGGAGGCGCATTCGCCGTAAAGATCGGTCATGGCCCCGGGCCATCCATCCACTCAACTCTGGTCACTATCCTCATACATGCACCGACGATCCTGACCGTCGCGTGCCACATGCCACCATTGCGATCGTCACCCCGCCGACTTAGTTTTTGCGCAGGCTTGCCTCGATCCCACAGTCCGTCGTGGCGATCAGGCGCACAGCCAGCCAGTCTACAGCCAGCCAGTCTACAGTCAGCCCGTCGGGACTTTTCGACTCGCACCACACGTACATCATCTAGGCACTGCTTCCCGGAAGCTGGCTGACGAGTTGAGAGAGATCTTTGCGGATGCGCCGGTGAAATTTATAGTTGCGAGAAGGGAGAGAGATGCGGGGAAAGATGAAGAGTAGGGTAGAGGACGGTAAGGGAGGGCTTGAGGGTAATCGCCCGTTGAAAGCCATGTTGATCCCTCGCAATCCGATCTTAGCCAATCAGAATCGTCGTGCACTAGGAATCTCCTCTTACACGACCCTTCTCCTTGGCTAGATGGGACGAGAGGATCGATTGGGTTTTCGAGTGCGGGTTTTAGAGCAGGAAGAAGAAGAGTGTGAAGGATAGCGCGAAACGGGTCAAAGATTCAGATGATCAGGAAAGAGAAAAAGGGCGCTCGCGAGGAAGGAGAGAGAAAAACAGTTACAGGGGGAGCGAGCGAGAAAGCATGTGCGCACGAGGGAAGGTGCTGAGAGGAGTGAGGAGGAAGGAGGAGGGAGTCCGTTTGCATGTTGCCGAACAGCAAAAGAAGAATGGGCACCGAAACAATTGCAGTTTTTCCCAGTCCTACGCTAATTCAAAAATTGAAATCACCATATCCGCACGAAAAGTAGACGAAAAGAAAGAAAGTCCTACGCCCATCCCTATTCCTACAAAATTCCTAGAGTTTTCCATCTCGAGGCCAAGAACATTCGCGCGTGAAAGGACACACCGCGTTCCGTTAATTCCGGAATTCCTAACTGTCGAGCCAAATTCCGAGCGCGCTCACTAAGGCACGCGTAATTCCTATGCATTTTCAAATTAGAAAAAAAAAATGATGGAATTTCAAGAACTAATAGTGCTGACAAACATACAGATTTCAACGAGGTACCTTTAATCGAACAAAAACAGAGGGGGGATTCTCGGGGGCCGATCTAGATGCAGAGAAAACATGGGAGGGGAAGGGGTCCGAAAGATGGCGCAGGTCCGGAAGCTGGTTCGTCACACCCGGACCTGCTATTTGCAGTTAGGGTAGCTGTAGGGAATTTTGTTAGTACATTTTTCCCGAGTTTGCAAATATGTCCGTCACAAATTTCCCTCACAGGTAGGTCCCTTGGTTAGCCCTCAGCCAAACAAAATTACGAATTTATCCTACCTATAGTACAGCCTCGACAGAGAGAGGCTACAGGCGACCAGAAAACTGCAAGTCATTGCAACACATCTTTCACTTATGATGACTATGGTCTTGTAAGGCAACACCTTTTGAGTGCAACCATTAGTGGTGGGAACGCTATCAGCTTGTCGTCAGCGTAAGAGTAACTAGGAAGCAAACTTGGACTGTATCCATGGCGGTCCTTTTGTTAATTATTGCTTTATTTAGGATGGAACGGTGCATGGTGGGGAACCCGTCTAGGCGGTTCAGGCTTCCCTGAGGCTGGCTAAAGTGGGTGTTTGCTATGGGACACTGAGCTCCTTCAGGAAAAAAATAATAAATAAATGAATAAATAAATAAAATAATACCATTATACCACTAATATGGGTAGCGGCACTACGGAGGCAGTGGGAGTGCTACTGTCAGTGGTGGGAACGCTAGTCGCCTGTAGTTAGCGTAAGTAGCGAGGGAAGCAAACTTAAACTGTATCCATGCTGATCTTGGGACACTGAAAGCTGTTATTATTGAAGATTGACGGGTGCGTGGTGGGAAACCCGTCTAGGCAGTTCAGGCTTCCTTGAGTTCAGAAATAGGTTAGATTAAGGGCGTCGTTAGACACTCCTCGAGCCGTCCTCGGAGTTCGAGGACGAATCCTCGGAATTTTTTACGTTTTTTTGAGGTGTCGTTCCACCTGTCCTCGGAGAATCGCCCCGAGGACGAATCCTTGGGGCCCTCCCGCGGCCAGTTTCATGATATTATATACGGCCGCGAGGGTGTTGTCCGGCCTTCGATTCGGGATGTCCGTGTTGGAGGAGTGGTGGTCCAGCAGGCAGACGACGGTACTACATCACGGGGCGTGAAGAAGAAAATCGCCAACGCGGGAACGGACCCGTTCGAATTTCGAAATTCGAATTTGCGTCCTGCGGAGCGACGGTGTGGCGGCGCACACGCGGGTTGGCGAGGAGGGGGGGCAGTGCACGTCGCGAAGGGTTTCGGCTGCCATGGCATTGCGCACTTGAGTGGCACCGCACTGCCACCGTCTCCAGGGTGTTTGAGGCCGCGCCGCGCTTCGTATGATGCCGGCAGTTGCGCTCGTGACGCAGAGGGGCGCGGCGGTTCCGTACTTCAGCGGCAATGGGCGGACGCTCCAATCGGGGTGGAACATCGTTAAGCACGGCTGCATTGCTCACCTGATTGCACGCGCCTTCAATCGCGGTGGGAGAGGTGCGCGCAGGTGGGTGGCGAGGAAGGTTGCTTTTCCTGTCCGAAGAGCGGAATGGAGGGTTGCGATCGCGATGGTCGTGCTGTGCTGTCCAGTGCGGAGAAGACAGTTATCGCAGCGGCTGCTGTCGCAGTTGTCCGTCGATTCCAACTAGAGAGGGCGGCCGGGCACATGAAAGTGACGCTTTCCAGGCGACGGCAGAGGCTTCTGCTGCAGAGGGTGTTGGACGCCCCGGACTGCGTTACCAGTTCTGAGGCAGCGCTTCAACTATGCTTTGCAATAGGGTGCGGTGTGCTTCCTCGGTCGACGCCACGTTGGTGGATGAGGCGGAGAACCGGTGGGACTTGGGAGGATTTGCGGCTCTGTGATGACGCGACGGACGACTACTTCCGGGAAAAGCTCCGCGTGTCGAGGAGAGTTTTCATGGAGATCAGCGAAGCCTGTGCACCTCTCTTGCAACGACAGGTGACGTTCTACAGAGAGCCACTTCCGCCGGAGCAGATCGTCGCCTATGCGCTGTACAGGTGGGCTACATGAGAGTCATACGACAACATCACCTCATCTTTCGGCATAGGCAGGGCTTCCGAAATTCTGGTCGTGCGCGATGTGACAAACGCTTTGTTGAGGGTCTATGGGGACAGGATATCGTGGCCGACGGGGGTGCGGAAACACATCGTGCTGCGGGCGTTTTTGGACAAGGGCTTTCCAAACTGCCATGGCGCAGTTGACTGCACACACATCTATGTGGACAAACCGACGAACGCGCCCGACGAGAACTACTTCGACCGCAAGCACCGTTTCTCTGTCATTGCGCAGGTGGTGGTGGACCTGGATCTGCGTGTGCGAGACGTGTTCGTTGGATATCCGGGGAGCTGCCACGACATCAGGGTGATCCAACTGTTGAGTCTGTCGAGGCGCGTAGTGGTGCCGTACAAAGGAATCAATAAGCACCCGGACGAGGAAAGGTTCGACACGAAGCAGAAGGTCGCAAGAGCGGCTGTGGAGAGGGCGTTCGGGAGGTTGAAGGAGATGTGGAGGCTCTTCCTGCGGACACACAAGACAAACCTGGAAACACTACCACAACAGTTCACGGCAGTCTGCATTCTCCACAATATCCTCCTCGATGTCGGTGTCGAGTTCGACGAGAATTTGTTGTGGGAGGTCGACGAGAACGGGGTGAGGCGCCGAGTGGACCTGGGGATTCATCGTCCCCTGCAGCCAGTGTCGATGTTGAGGTCGACCAGTCCCGCCCTCGCGCTCCGCAACGTGCTGGCAGAGCGAATGAAACACATGTGATCCTGTGCACCGCCTGCATCTTTCACGCGCAGAATACTTCCTTCGAGTCGTGTTCTGCCGTCTTCGATTAGTTAGGAGGGTTCGTTGTCTTTCGCTTATGCGTGCGACGAAGCGGATGGTTTTCCGTCGCGGATGGCATCTTTTTCAGTTTGTTGTTATGGTTGACGGTAGTGTGCTTGTCCAATTCGTCTACGGTTCCTAGTGACGTGACTCTGCGGTCGTTCGACGTAATGTTGGCAGTGGTTCGGTTGCGCACTTGAGTGGCGCCGGTGTGCTCCCATGGCTGTCTGTGAATCCCGGGACGAGGAGGGGGGGGAGAGGGGCGGGGGGGGGTGTGGGGGGGGGGTGGTTATCAGCTCCTCGGTGAGCTTATAAGTATGTGGTTTACAGCGCTGCTTTGTTTGAAATTGAACGATGTCGTCAAATCCTGTACTTTTTGTGATTGTTGTGTGATGACGTCTTCGTGCATTCTGCTTCTTCCTTTCGTTCGGCGACCGACTTCTTTCTCAACTACATTCAAAATGTCTGTCATCCACAGAATATCTGCACTTTTGTGCAATTTCTCAGGGTCATCGGTGATGCATGAATGCGGCAGTGAAGATTCATGTACATTGAGAAATGAAGCATTTCAATTTTGTTCTTTTAGCAAATGCGTGGTGACAGTGCGTGCTGGTTCGTTTCTCTCATCCTGTTTTTTTGTCGTTCCCGTTTGCTGGCGATGATAACGACGCAGAGATTTCATACATCCAACGAAGGGCCGCTTACAAAAGCAAAAAATGTGAAGGACACGACGATCACTATTAACGCATTCCATACATGAGACATCCACACGGAAGAGAACAAAACCAACTTTGAGCGACGAATCACGGACATGCGAGTACACAGTTCTGACACACAAAATAAGACTTCAATGACATACATTCCTTCCAAGTACAATATTGACGCGGAATTCGAAAAAGGGAGTCCAACTGTCCACCCTCGAAGCGCACCACACCAACGACGGACTCCACCGCCTTCTATTTCATTGCTGACGTGTCGTGGACTGACCTAATAGACAAGGCTTTGGAGCAGATCTACAAACTCTGCTCCAATGAAAAACTAATCACAATGGGAAAAAAAAAACTAGCAGGTGGATTGCTGACACAATAAAGCTCCACCTGCCTTGTACTGTCACAGTACGGTAAAACAACACATGCACGAAGACGACAACTGTCGACATCGTGACACCACAGAACCGCGCGCTCCAACCACGACCATTGACGACAACACGTGTAGCGCGATGGAGGGGTTGTACCCATCCGTCATGATGGATTGCTGCACAGGAACGGCGACCGGCCACCTCACCTTCCCCCCCGCCCCACCATCACCCCCCACCCACCCCCATCCCGTTGCGGCCTTGCGGATGAACCACGTGTGTTGTCCAGTGTGGAGAAGACAGTTGTCTTCGACCCCCACACAGATTCTCGCCACCCCTCTCGTTATGCTGGACGTGTTCGAGGAACGCAATCGTTGCCGTTCATCATCCCAAAACTGACGACCGACGACCTCTGTAGCGGCACGCTCGTCGTCGTCCCCTTCTCCGTCGATTGTACCGCCTGGCGTCGTCGTTTGGCAGCCTGCCAATCCAGCTGTCTTCGTCCTCGACCCGGCCACACTTGCTGTACTCAAAGCCACCCGCCTCAGCGAAACGAATCCACGGCTATCCGCAAGGCCAACCGCCCTCACAGAAGGCGATGTGTGTTTGGTGGCAGAAGCCGGGTTCACGACAACGGTGTGCGTCAGGTCCTCGCCACTCCCAGACCTTAGACCGAAGCTCAGATCGACGAGTCCAGCGTCGTAACCAGCGGGAGTCTTGCCCTCCAGCAAATCAGTGTACGTCGGCGTCGATGCGTGTCTGACACTGTCTGTACAGCTGGCTCCCCATCCAATCTTGCGTCGAACCGCTGCCCAGAGGAACCGTTGAGGATCTGGGGTCGTCGACGTCGTCGTCACTCAGAGGCAATGGAATCTCGTGGGACGGCAGGTGGCTGTACAGCGTTGGGTCGTACGGCCGCCTGCCGCCTTCCGCACTGTTGCAACGCTGACGCGAGGACCCCCCACCTTCCACCGACATCGTCGTCTTCGTCTGAAGCTTATCCATCTTCCTCGACTTCTTCGGCGTTCGATGCATCTGTTTCCTTCCAGGAACGCGACCGAGGAAACAAATGTGGAAGACGACAACGATGAGCAGCAGCAGAGCGACGAGCAGCAGCAAAGGCAGCCTGCGGTACAGGTCTGCCATCAACGATGCCGACATAGAAGCGTTGTCGCATTCGCGGCGAGCAGAGACACACTGTGCGAGAGGGAAGACGCCAACGAACCAAATTCATGCAAGCAGCGACAGGGGGAGGACGCTTACAAAATCCGTAATTCCGACCGTTGGGAAGCCCGCGGGAACGCCACGAAGCCTCCGGGCGCCGGCCGAAGACATCCGATGATCGCCATGGCCCCTCCGTGGGGCCGCCCGAAGGACCTACAGGGCCGTCCCGTGATTCAGCGCCAACGGTAAAACGAGGAGGCCGTTGCTGGAGGTTTTCGACGACGACGGTCGGGGATGTCCGTCTTCTGGCCGCTGGACCACCACTGGACCACCTTCGGCCTCCAATTTCCGTTCTGGAGTAGCCGCCGACACCCCGTTAATCGCGGATCCTCCAGCTCCGAAGGACCTCGCGAGGTCCTTCGAGTTCAAGGACGATTTGGCTGGGAAATCCTCGGAGCCCGAGGATTTGTCCTCGGAGTGTTTTCACATTTTCATTTCCGATTTCATCCCAGAGGACAGGTGGAATGACGACGGAATCCTTGGAATCGCGTCCCCGAGGAGTGTCTAACGACGCCCTAAGATTGAGTTCCTGCCTGAGAGGCTACATAGCATCTGCGAGCGGCGGCACTACGGTGGCAGTGGGAGAGCACCCGTCAGTGGTGGGAACGCTACTCGTTTGGAGGAAGCAAACTTGAAGTGTATCCATGGTGATCTTGGTCCGTTGAATGTTGATGCCAATGAAGATCCAAGGGTGTGTGGTGGGAAACCCATCTAGGCGGTTCGGGCTTCCTTGAGTTTACAGATAGGTACTTGTTCTCTTTTCTGTAAGATTTTGAAGCGAAGCTGGGTAAGGCTCCCAGACAGGTAGTGGGGTTTTTCAGTATTTCCTGGTTATTTTCCTCCCTTTATGTTTCCGAATTTTTTTTTTTTTTTTTTTTTTTTTTTTAAGTCCGGTTGCATACTTTCTTTGGAGTTGCAGACCATGGGACGCTGGACCCGGTTCCGAGCACAAGCGTCACTCCCGGGTTGAGATGTTAAGGGATTCCTGACCTCATTCTATTACTTAAAAAAAAAAAAAAAAAAAAAAAAAAAAAAAAAAACTTCGGGCAGTCCTGTATGACCCTTACATTTCCAAAAATTGTGGCTTGTTAACGGGCACGACTTTAGGAAGTACACGTGGTTTAAGAGATAGGGGCTGGGGGCCTCGTTCCATACCCACTTGAAGCGTAAGGATTTAAGGGGAAGCATCTTTCCACCGCGCCCTAATAACGAAGAAATGGAAGTCCCTGGCGTTTCCACATTATTTTCTGTTGTGTAGGGTCCCTCCTTAGAAGTTCAGTGCCGCCCAACTGTTTTTTTTTTTTTTTTTTTTTTTTTTTTTTTTGGGAACAGCCATTTCTTCCAACATCTGAAGGGTGCCTCTGGGGCCTCGTCCCACTACGTCCCATTTACACTTGTGCTCCTCCGTTTTCGATAACGTGCGGCTGTCCGTGACATCCGGCAAGCATTGATCCAGTAGCATATCGACTGCTAGTGTAGATTGTCTTTGTTTTCGTGGAGGCCGCTGCCCATGGGCCAAGAGATTTTTTTTTTAATCATTTGTTGGCCATTTAGTTGGCCACTTTGCGTAAGCGCGAAGCTTCAATACTATGGTTTTTTTAGGGGGGGGGTGTTTTTGAAGCTTTGCGCCTTGCTATTTTTATTTGCAGAAATTGAGAATATTGAGATTTCCGTGGAAGAGTGCGAACAGGCCGGCGGGAAGGCCGAATGCAGATGTACTGGGTTGGTGGAAGTGTAGACACATAGGGTGTACTGTCATGATGTCGGTGCCAGCTCCCGTGATTTTTTGTTTTTTTGGTCCTTTTCTTTGCTACTGCCTTAATGAAAACTAGCATTGTTTATGCTATTTTAAATGAGAAAAGAACGCCACACCTTTCAAACTTGATTTTTTATTTTTTTTTGTCCCTGGAGGTCGCTTGAAACTCAAGGGCGCAACCCTACAAAACGCGTAACACATTTATTTTTTATTTTCTTTTGTCCCCAAAAGACGAGTGGTTCTGACATCAACACGTTAGCCCTCGAGTTCAGCGGTCTCTAGCGTGTCGTGTAGGGGTTGTGGAATGAAAATTCAACTTAGGGTAAATTAATCACGATCCCCAGGTAAGGGCTTTCTTACAATGTAAGGACTCTTTACTAATTTTGGTGGTGTGGAAAGAGGCCCTGATCTAGGTTTGACCGGTAGGATGGCTCCATTCTATTTGTAGGGAACACCATGTCCTGGGAACAGGGCCCAGCATCCCAAAACTGAATATTGAATTATAGAGATGAATGAACAACCTTCGGTATAGAGGCATTGATTACTTCCTTGACTTTTGGGAGGATTAACCTCTACGGTGACCCTTTTCAAACACTTCAGTGATTAGACAACTGTGACACGATCAACCATCCTGGCCCGTCACCGGCACGTCGAATTCCAACCATTTCTTTCTCTTGATTGCTATCCATTACTAACGAATTCGAGGAGAGAACGTGAGGGTCCAAGTGGAAACTGGTCCGATTGCTCCTTGGCAGACACGGATCACACGGTGTAGCACTGCCATGTGGCAATGCCAGGATTGAAAACTGCTCGAGACAAGAAAGAGGGGTTGCAAGCTAAAGGGTGGCATCTAGACTCCTCGCACCCGCCGGTTAAACCACCAGTACCTCGCCCAGTTATCAAGTGCGAGCCT